GTCCTGCAGGTCACGGCTTGGCCCTCTGGCTACAAGGACTTCGCAGTGAAACGCCACTCAGAGTAACCTGAGACACAGTGGCTCCCCGAAGAATTCAGGTTTGTCTGAGTCGGGAAAGCAGGGCTAAGAGGCGCAGCCTGGTTTGGTTTTCCAAACCGCCTTTAGGACTTGGAAACCCGGTCTTGGAAGGAGGCTGAGCGCTTTCCTGGCTTGGACACACCAAGTACAGCGAATAGTGGCACAGACAGCTGTAGTTCAAGAACCCAGAGCAAACCCGCAACCCGGCCTTTCTCATACACAGCTGCAACCCTCTTGAACCATCGCAGAGGTGTGGTGGAGTGACCGCGGACAGTGAGTGTCCTGTCACCGAGCCCCACGACTTCTACAGCTGCTAGGACCCTTTCCAAGGCGAACCCCTCCCTCCTGTCCGACCTCCCGGTAGGGCTCCTCCCTGCCCCTGCCCCCCAGCGGGGATCTGACCCTTGCTCGCACTCTCTTGCCGCCTGGCTTTGCCCCCTCGCTCAAAAATGTGTTCTCTTTCATTTGCGGATTTAATAAACAAACGTAACCATATCACACGGGGCTCCGTGCCGTCCTTCTGAAAGCAATTCCGCTGTTGAAAACTGAAAAATGGGTGTAATTTGCGTTCAGAAAGTGATGTTAGGGTCACCGCAATTTCCCGAGCCGTTATTTATTTTTACTTTAAAGTCTTTAGGGAAGATTTGCTTATATACTCGGAAACCTTCCAGCGTGAGGGTACCAGCAATCCCGCTCGCCTGCGACGCAGGGGGGACGGGGGTGGAGAACAATTACTGAGTGACGCTAATATGGGGAAACTGAAAAGAAATGTCTATTGTTTTTATTGTAACAGAAGGAGTGAGCAAACAGAAAAACCAACCCCGGGTGATCGGAAACAGGCAGGCGGAGAATTAAAAGCGGGTTTCAGGCGGCAACAGGCCCCTCCCCTGCCCTCTGAAGGAAAAAGCCGGCCAAGAGCGTTCGCAGCGCGGGCCGATGCCTGGCCGGCGCGCTTGGACTGGCGGCTGGTGGACTTGCAGCGCGCCGGGAGGAAGCTCCGCGCCCGGGCCCCGAGCTGCTCGCGGCTGGCCTCGCCGCCTGGCCTCACTGGGCGACCTCTAGAATCCTGGGGCTCTTTCGGCGCCGAGTGGCTGCCCTCGGAGAGCCTCTCCGCTGCCCGGCTGCCGGCAGGAGCCCTGCGCTCTCCCCTCGGGCGGGTGTGTCTGGTAGCGTCCCCCTCAGCTCGGCGAAGTCCAGACCAGCAGGTCAGTGTGTGGCGCTCGCCGAGCGCCTGGAGGGGGTTGATGGTCCATGCACTGTGTCTTTTCCAGCTCGTGGCTGTTCCTTTGCCTTACTCTGACCGCGACTCCACGAGCGGGTGGCGCGGGTCCGCAACCCACTGTAGACCCTCCCTGACTTGGGGCGCGGGGCACGCTTCCGGCTGCCACGTGCGACTGCGGGTGCTGGGAGGCCAAGTGGGCGGAGGAGCGGCCGCTGACGGTGGTGCGAGGTCGTGGCCTGGCTGTTGGCTTTTGGGCTTTGGAACGCGCTCTGGAGAGGTCTGGAGAAGATGAGCCTCAACTCCGCTAGCAAGCCGGCACTCACCCTCGAGGAGACTCTCCCATGGCCGCGGGGAAACCGAGAAACTGGACAGGAGGTCTTGCCTCGCTAGTGCATTACCCTCAGATCAATGGAAAAAGTCATCATACTAAAGCACGCATTCTGGCTGCTTCAGGATCCCCGCGGGGCGATCAGGAAGGAGAGCAAGATCTCCCGGGGTCCTATCTGGGACCCCGCAGATTGGAGGAATCAGCTTGTCCCCTGCCAATTCTGCGTGTGAGAATAGCTACTGGTAACAGTAGGACATCACTTCCCTCTGCGCGCACACACGCTCACTCGGGCCATACCCTCCCCATCTGGAGCCGTTGAGGTCGTGCAGACACCCAGAGCGCGCGCTGGGCCTAGCCGCCAAGCCAGGGATCCAGTGGAGAGAGTGCGAAGGGCACTCAAAGCCCCGCACAGCATGCAACCCTGGGCGGGCAGCGCTCCGGAGGCCTCAGCAAGGGGCCCTTATTCCTTTACTTGCATCTCTCCTCACACCACGCTGTGGCTAGGACAAGGGCACCGCAGGTGACCGCCTGCGGCCCTGGCACTGCTGACAGATTTATGGAAACTTAACATCATCTGGTTGGAAAGGGCGCGAGTCCAGTTGAGGAGGCGCACTGTGGACTTGAAGGTCCCCAGGGCCCCTGCTCCCCAGAGGTGTACAGGTCCATCTGCACCACTACGGAGCAGAGCGGGTGCTCCCCTCCCCGTGAAGCCCCCTCCTTCACAGTCCAGCTTCCAGTATCCCACTGAGTAAATATTTACCCAGAGACCGGGTCGCCCCTGGGAGGAGGCCTTGCCAGCATTGGGGAAGGACTTTTTGGCTTTTCCCTCTCTGAGTTAGCTGCAGGCCTTACTGGTTATGTTTTGGTTTTGTTCTTAAATTTCCCCTTTTAGTTGAAATTCTTCTGAGCCCTGCGTGATCTCCCGAGTCCTGAGCTTGCAGTAATGGGGTGACGGTGGGGACGCTGACCCTTATTTATTTATCTATTTATTTATTTACTTACTTACTTACAATCCTGCATCCCTTCACCTACCTTCTGGCCCACAATGATCTCTCTCTTCTCCACATCCCTCCAGCCAGTCAGTCATCCTGGGGCCACGGGCTTGCCCACCACACTACTCCTATGGCCTCCAGGAAAATTTAGCATCAGTCCCTTCCGCTGGATCAGGCTACTTCCTCTGACCTCTGCAGCGTTGACTTGGTGCCCCAAGGCACCAAAGAGTCCTCACGCCTGAAAGGGTCTGCGAAGAATGGAGGGAAGCTGCCTCCTGGCGTCCTGAGGAGTCCTCACGACTACGGCAGGTGGAAACAGATGGCAGTCGACCCGTCAGAGGGCATCGGAGATGTGCAGCATCTCAGCGGAGAGAGGGAGTTAATTAGGAGTTTGGTCACTTGGCTAGACTTCTAAATCATACAAGTCTGAATGATCACTCTGCATTGAGTTGTAGGACCACTGAGATTTTCCCAGAGCCTGCAGTTGCGCAGCAGCACTGAGCCTCCAATTCGGTCAATTGGAGGCGAAAAGCCTTTTAACCGCATCACAGGCCTGCAGTGCCCACCAGGCGAGCCCTGGGCGCGCGGAGCCCGCACATACAGAGTCCCTGCAGAAGTAAGACACTCTCAGCTTGCGTCTGTGGGTGTGTAGGCGAAATCCGGAGGCATTCTGGATCACCTAAACGAGTGTGTTCATCTCCTCTTCGATGAGCTGTCAGATGTCACCAACTCTCAGCTAATTTGCACTTCAGCCCCCAAAAGAAACTGATGCTTCAAAAATTCTGAAGGCGGCCCTGAGATTGCAAAGGGCCAGATGATGCCACACGACAAGTACTGAGCAGGGTAAACTCTCGATCAAATAAATTCCAGAATACTTAACGCCAAGTTTTAGGATAAAAAGGCAAGTAAAAGGGCAAGTTCAAATGTCTAGTTGTAGAATTGTTCACGAATTTTCCCCATTATAAAGCATTAAAGGTGCATTTCCACACTACTTTCTTTTATCTTCCAAACTCTTCATACCTCTAAATCTGAACTTAGAATGGCCCTCACCATCTAAACGTGTTGGATCACTGTTAATTGCAAGAAGTACATAGAAGCAGCCCATGATCATTAGTCCTGGGTTTTTGGTCACTTATTGTCCAAGTCTGACCCTAATCACAACACCCTTCAGGATGGAGGAAGGCCAGCCGAAAGGTTTTATGCACGAGAGAAAGGAGCGTTGTGAATGTCAGGTAGCAGCTCTGTCCTCCATCCGAAACAGTCCAGACTTCCAATCTAATAGTGACAATAAAGGTCCTCAGTTCATTTTTACTTGAGCTCATGTTCCTCACAACCTAGCCTCGAGATCTAAGTAACTCCGAATCCCAAAAGGCGTGTTGTACACTATAGAAGAACTGTTGAGAGAACGAAAGTGAAAATGCAGAAGTAAGCAGAACCTTAAGGCCCAGTGGAGCTAAAGGAAGATGCGGGAATTATACACATAGGCAGGCTCCATGTTCACTTTTTTTGAGCCAGGTCGGTCACTTTGATATTGAAACAAAATCCTATGAGGTGGCTCGCTGGGGAGAACCCCAACAAACTCGAGGCTGATAACTATTAGTTTGTTGGAGCACCGCCTCACTGGTGAGCAGAACACTCGCCGGCAATCAGAGGATTTTGCGCGGTGCGCGGTGCGCTCCCTGGGTAGCTAAATTCTGGTTATGCCCATGCTTGCTGTCCTGAGCCTGTGTGACCCTGCTGTGCTCTCGGATGACCTCACGGGGAGGCCACTGCAGATCTATGGAGGGTTCCCTGCTCTGCCTCGTACTCTCCTCCACCTCCAGGTCTCTCCAGTGGGCCTACCTCCTTATACCTGCACACTTGTCACCTGGCGTGGACTAGAGTTGATAGGATGGGCTGGTGACATGGCTCCCCTCCTGAAGAAAGGCCTGCACGACAAGTTATCCTAAAACCCAATGCGTAATTGGTTGGTGCCCACCTCCTTCCAATCTAGAGTCTTCAATCCTGAGATCAGACACCCTTTATTCTCCTAAAGATATCTCCCTGGCCCCTTTCCCCCTTGAATTTGAGTCACTCAAAATCAGACTAAACGCTTTTATTTGCTTATTCAGCGTTTTGGCCGGCTTGATTTTGCTGTCTGTTTACGCTGCCTCTGGGAAGATGTCAAACACCCACTTTCATTGTATTTAGTCACCCAGGTGCAGAACAAGTCGGAGACAACGGAAGGAGTTTCCCCGGCCTGCGCTGTCGCTCAACCGCTCGCACGAATCACCGCGCAGTTGGTGCCCGGGCCCGCCTCTTTGGGGGCGTGTCCCCAGTGAGTGATAGACGGAGCCGCCCGGCCCCGCTCAACCCAGCCCACGTTGCTGCTTAGATTGAAATGCAGAACTCAAGCCTCTTTCAACCGGGCACAGACTTCCTTTTACTCCTTCCCTTTGCGCTCTCGCCGCCTCCTCACGAGGAGAAGCGGAGGCACCGGCGGCCTGGGGCAACGAGAAGCCGGTCCACTGAGGCCGTGCGCAAAGTTTCTTTCCGGGAAAACAGAACGGGGCCCGGCGGGTGTACTGCTCGGAGCAATGGGTGAGCGGCGGCGGGGGACGCTGTCAGAGCCGGGAGGGAGGGAGGAGGAGAGCGAGCGGGCGCGGGCGGGAGGGCGGGCGGGCGCGCGGGCGCGCACCCTGAGCGCTCGCACTCTGGGCAGTGACTTTCTCGCCTTTCTACGACTTGTAGCAAGGCGCTAAGGGTCAGTGCCGCGCACAGCAATGGATTCTGATCGGGGCTTGAGGGCTTGTTGATGCCATTTTCTGATTTTCAGAAGGGAGCTATGGCACCGGCGAGCCCCGCAGCCTCAGTGGCAGACTAAGTTCTGTTTCACGCACACGCCATCAAAACAGAGGGATAGGGGAAGGGGGCGGAAATCTCTAGCTTCTCCTAGACCTTGTCTGACTACAGGATCCCCGGGCGGGGCGCTAGGATCCTTGAGAAATAGTGCAAGGACTTTAGATCCGAGCAGGCGAGAAGGACCAGATTGCAGGCGTCACGACCAATTTCCTTGCCTGCTTCAGAGCCTTTTGAACGCTCGGAGTGTCCCTGCGCCTCACCACTTTGCTTGCCTTTCGCGGCCACCGGCTCATCGGGAATGACAGGGGCCCCAACCGGACCGCGGCGGCTTTGGGCCGTTCGGCGAGGTTCGTGGACTGTATGATCTGGGGACAGCCCCCTTCCTTACTCCGGGGCCAGTGGGTTCGCCCTGCCCCTGGACGCGCGCGAAGGCCGAGTAGCCAGCAATTGTCCCAAACGGCGGGTGCGCGTCCCTGCGCGCCGTGTGTTCGTTTTGCAGAGCCAGCCTTCGGGGAGGTGAACCAGCTGGGAGGTGTGTTTGTGAACGGGAGGCCGCTGCCCAACGCCATCAGGCTTCGCATCGTGGAACTGGCCCAACTGGGCATCCGACCGTGTGACATCAGCCGCCAGCTCCGAGTCTCGCACGGCTGCGTCAGCAAGATCCTGGCGCGCTACAACGAGACAGGCTCGATCTTGCCAGGGGCCATCGGGGGCAGCAAGCCTCGGGTCACCACCCCCACCGTGGTAAAACACATCCGGACCTACAAGCAGAGGGACCCCGGCATCTTCGCCTGGGAGATTCGGGACCGCCTGTTGGCAGACGGCGTGTGCGACAAGTACAACGTGCCCTCGGTGAGCTCCATCAGCCGCATCCTGCGTAATAAGATCGGCAACCTAGCCCAGCAGGGCCACTACGACTCGTACAAGCAGCACCAGCCCGCGCCGCAGCCCGCGCTGCCCTACAACCACATCTACTCGTACCCCAGCCCTATCACGGCCGCCGCCAAGGTACCCACGCCGCCGGGGGTGCCCGCTATCCCCGGCTCAGTGGCCATGCCGCGCACCTGGCCCTCCTCTCACTCCGTCACCGACATCCTGGGCATCCGCTCCATCACCGACCAAGGTAAGGCTCCCGGGCCGAGTGTGTGAGCGTGCGGCCCTCCCCTTCGCAGGTGTACCTATATCTGAGCCCCCCCTCCCCCCCTGCCGCCCGTCTCTAGTCCATCCTCCGTGTCCTTCTCCTTTGCAAACTTAGGAGTCCTCCCGGGGGAGGTGTTTTGCTCTAACTCACTTGAAATTCACGCTATTTTCCTCGCCACACACAGTCTGCTGCCTCATCTCAAGCTCCCAGACCCATAACATCCCCCCATCCCCAACACATGGTTCGCATTTTCCACCCTCCCCCGCCCCCTGTGCCGTTCCACTTCAGCCAGGCTGGCCGTCTTGGAGAGCGAGGCCGGGGCTGGACTCGGGGCAGCGCCGGGGAGGCCCAGGCCGCCTAGGGAACGCCAGCTACAGACGCCGCCGCAGGCAGCCCGCTCCGGGGCGCAGAGGTGGCCGCCAGGAGGCCCGCACGCCCCGGGAATTTGCAGTTTCTCCTTCTCGGGTTCTGGCAATCAGGCCAAATTTGCTCAGGCAGGAAGTTCAAATGTCACCTAATTGGTTTCATTCTTATGCTTCACTTCATTTTCCTCGGAAATGGAGGTCCTGAAGTTACTACTAGTAACTTGCATGTAGCTCGCTCCGCCACTAATTTTCTGCCTTACTGCTTCTCTGTCTCTTGCTCTCTTTACGTTAACCGACGTCAGTATTTTAGGCAGGGGCTCCAATCATTGCGGGGATGGACAGAGAATGTTCGGGCAGTTCCTTGCCTTCTTTCCCCATCTCCCCTTGCCCCAGCTGGTCTGCTGAAATGCGAGAGGACAGCTAGTTGTCCCTTAACCGTTCTCCCTGATGCCACCTCACAGCTCCAGACCATTCTCACCTTTGACTTTGCTGGCCCTCTGCGTCTTTTTTGCGTGGGCCGAATGATTCCCCCGGCTTGCTTGCTCAGGTTTGACTTCCGCAGGAGAGTTTGTTTGCTTTTCTGCGTGGTTAAAAAAAGAAAGGAAAGGAAAAAAACAAACGAAATCTAAGTCGGCATCCACTTGTTTCTTCTAAGGAGAAAAGAAAATAAAAATGCCTGGGACCCACAGAATTCTAATAATGCAGATCAAGAACCTAGCTCCTTAACTTCTCGGTCTCAAGTTTTAAAAGCCAGAGGAAAAAAATCAAATAGGAAAGAGGGAAATCGTTTCCTTAATGATTTCCTGCCTTCCTTGGTTGCCCCCACCTTGGCACAATTATCTTCTTCTAAGTAATTTAAGCAGAGCTCTGATTTCTCATCTTTTTGCTATCTGTGGATTTACAAGACTACTTTGGTCTTTTTCCGAGCTAGAACTTTCGTGGAGAGAGTTTGCCCTTGATTTATAGGATAAACTGACCTCACTGACATTTAAAGGAAGCCCCTGTTCATGGGAAAGTGTGAGTTCAGCAGAAACGGGAGCTCACAGGGGGAATCTCAATTTCTTAAGATAACTTCAGGCTTGTGCCCACCGACTGCTTTTTGTCTGAGAAAGCAAAGAGAAACAGGCAGCTCTGGGCCAAAACATGGTTTCCTGGTGCAAATAGGAATACTATCTAATTTTTCAGTTAAGGGGTGGGGGAGTGGGGAGGAGGGTAGAATTAAAAAAAAAAAAGAAGAAAAGGACTGACAGAGCTGAAAAGAAAACTTGTTCTTCCCTAGGGACTCCTACAATCAGAGTAAATGTTAGTTGAGAAAGTACTGGATTATGGACAGGAGCGACTCTTTTATTCCAAACATCATTGTGGATTCTGAGAGCCATTTGGTTGTGGAAAAAAACTAGTTTTTGACGAATCTGTGAGCAATAAAATACTTTCTACAAAATAATCATTCCTTGGTAATACTGCTTCCGACAGAAGCGTGTACATCAAGTTAGAGTGGCAGTGCCAAACTGCTCCTGCATACAGAGGTGCCAAACACAAAAACACATTCCCTATAGTCTCAGTTTTCTTTACTATTTGGAAGCAGGAGTAGCATCCACTTCCTAGACAACATGCCTCTTTAGAACTGTATGAACTTTGAGAAATGTCCATAGTTATCGAAAGCCTTCAGGCCTTTTGTTCATAAAGCCCCTATGAGTTGTGCTCGACTCAACTGCAATCAATAGCAACAACTATTACACTTGCTTACGCAAAAGATGCCAGTGATTCACTGTGTACAACTCTCAGTATTGTGGTACTCACTTCACCCCACAGTTTTCTTTGCAACCCCAGTAAGAACAGCTAGGACAGCTGATGGTTTTACCCTTTTTCTAAACATGTAATTCTACTTTCAGTTTCTTAATCTTCTAAATTTCTTGAATTAAAAGCAAGAAAACACATAAACCTTCCCTGTAACCCTGCCTACCAATGCCTTTTGTGGCACTTAAGAGGAGTAATTGTAAAACTGATTTTTGACTTATGTTGGTAACTTCACATGCTTAATGGTCCTATACCCTCCGCAGAAACCTCCAGCCCAATACTTTGCATGTTGCTGTAGACTCCCTTTAGTTATTTGTTTGAAAATGTTCTTTTATTCTATCTATTGACTCAAGTGCCAGATCCTGACAGCACAGTGAACACCCTTCTGGAAGTTTCTGTGTACTAGAGCAGGCCATCCTTAGGCTAAACGCTCTTCTCTCCCTCTCCAGTACAGTCCCACATTTTTGCCAGTCTTCTCTCTGCTGGAGATAGATTAGTATTTGAGGAGGCTTCCGGTTCCTGAGTTTTTTCCCCTAAATTTGGGAAATATTGGAGAAATGTGGGAAATCTCTCCGGTTTTTTCCACTAGGAGGAAAGGAGGAGGAATTGAAGGCTGGCTGAAAAGGGAAAAACATCTCACAGGCCTCGTGAGATAGATTAGTGAGCCCTACTGAGAAGCGAGTGAAAATCCACCCTGGTTCTGGACTGGAAGCAGAGGAGGCTGTGCCAGGGCCCAGCGCCGCTGGCAGTGTGAAGGCAGGGGCGCTGTCTGGTCACGGGTTCGGGTCCTGTGTCAGGAGGGAGGCTAACCCTCCAGCCTGACATCTTCTCCTTCCCAGGCGTGAGCGACAGCTCCCCCTACCACAGCCCCAAGGTGGAGGAGTGGAGCAGCCTGGGCCGCAACAACTTCCCGGCCGCCTCGCCGCACGCCGTCAACGGGCTGGAGAAGGGAGCGCTGGAGCAGGAAGCCAAGTACGGGCAGGTGAGGAGGTGAGGGCCGGGCCCGCGCCGCGGCGAGCGGTGGCAGCGGGGGTTCAGAGTGGTGGGAGCCTTTTCTGAAACCCGAGAAGAGGCGGAGAGGAGGCTCTGACTCCGTGGACTCGAGCCCGATCCCTGTTTGACCCGGGGAGAACCAGCCGGGACAAGGGGATGCCCAGCGGGGAGGCGCAGGGCGCGGGGCCCGGGCTCCGGAGGCGCAGGGGTGGAGCAGGCGCGGCCCGAGGGCTGTGGCCTCTGCAGGAGCCCGGAGGCCACGTCCCGAGGCCGGTGGTCCCAGGGCTGGAGTTCATGGAGATGCGGAAGAGAGGCTTGCGCAAGCGGGAGCAGCCTCCCACCCCGCGGCACACACGGCCGAGGTCGGGGCCCTGCGGGGCCGCGCGCTGCGTGGTTCTCACGCTGGGACTTCTCCTGGGTTAGCCCCCCGAAAACGAACAATGGGGAGTACTGAGATAGCGGAAAGGGGGGCAACCAGTTAAAGGAAATAAAGTTACTATTTCCCAATTAAAAGTCACATCGTAATCTCCCTAGGGAGGTTAGTGAGAAAACCTCAAATTATACTGGGTGGCTGTGAACCTTTTACTTTTTCTTTCCCTCTGTCCCTCCCCCATTCTCCTAAAGAAAAATTAAAACACCCCTTCCCCTCCATCTCCCAGAAAAGTTAGGCAACCACCACCACCACAAAAAACCATGAATTTTAAGTCTAAATTCAACACCACCTCAGAGTCAGGAGTTCCGAACTTTTTTAAAAGCAAGGCTAGCTATAAAGGCATTCTAAAGTTTCCTGAAGCCAAACTTGACCAAAGACTCAAAACATCCTATTTCTGAAGTCTTAACATTTTTAATGGTTCTTATCTCTCAAAAGCTAGCTTTTTTTAATTACTTTGGTAACTGAAATGTGCCACTATTTGTTTGTTTAAAAAAAAAAATCCAAGTGGTGATTTTCTCTACCATTACTACTTCCTCTTCCCTTCTTTATTTTGTTAAAACAGAATCACGGTTTTTAGTAGCTCTTCCTTGGTAAATTTGTCGTCACCAAAACACAACAGCAAGCAGAGTCCCTTTTCTGAGTTTTTTTCTGTTGAGAAGAACACAAACTAGAAATCGTAAGAATATGTATCGTTTTCTTTAACAAAAGCAGTGATTAGTAATTCTCAGGATAGAAGCAGCAGAGTGCAAAGGCTATTGAACTCCAGCCTCTGGCACCCAGGCCTCTTAAGCAAATAATTTAACTGTTTAAAACCTTAATTTCTTGAAAAAGGGGAAATAATTGTTTTAATCTTAAGAGATGTTGTGAGGATTCAGTGAGATAATGCAACATCCAGGAAGCATTAATTATTACCTGCTGGTAATGTGGGTTGGGCATTCTGCTCTTAACCAAAAGGTTGGCATTTCAATTCAGCAGCCACAGTGTGAGAGAAGGATTAAGCAATCTGCTTCCCCAGAGATTTACAGCCTTGGAAAGCCCTGTGGGCAGTTCTACTCCATCCTACAGGGTCACTAATCAGTTGGAATCAGCTTGGTGGCAGTGGGTTTAGTTTGTGTTCTGGTGGTTATAAATGTGGTTAGAGATAGCTCTTATAACAAGCAGTTTTTATCAGAATATTCTTTACTGAGAGAACTCTTAGTCAGAAAGTGTCAAGGCATTTTGTTGCAAATTATGGAGTTTATCTAAAGCATTTAGCCTGGTAGCTAGCATGTAATAGATGTACAGTCATTTTTATTAGGCCATCATTTCTTAGAATAACATTGTGAAATACAGAGCTGAAAAATAGTCATGAGTTTTCATGTAAAGTTGAAGAATCCAGTTTTCAGTTGATGTGCCCAGTTTGTAGTAGCAGTAAACACCACCCCCCCAAATAGTTTCTAGTTATTTCATTTTTACTCCTTTGAATTACAGACCTAGATTTCAAACTTTAGAAATGCTTGCACAGTCACATCAAACTTAAATTGATAAAATAGTTAACATTTTAATTTAAACTATTATTTCAAATAACCCACTTTATTTATTTAAAGCATTAAAAATTAATTATAATTAATATACTGACATTAAATCTCTAATTCTTGGATTTATAAAAGAAAGCAAAGAATTATATACTTAAATAAATATTGCTCTTAATACTTGAGAACTGATTAGTTTTTCCCAGAAGAGAAAGATGGTTTCTATAAAATTTACCTTAGAAAAATTCTTAATTGAAATATGCAGATTTCTGTATTGTCATGCATTAAGATAAGTCAAAAGATGTAAGTTCCCAAACTGTAATATTTCTGACAGAAAATAAGTAGATATTCTATTATATTGATGAAAATAGTGCATAGTGCTGAAGATATTTCAAATAGCCCCATAAATTTAGGTTGTGTTATTTTTTTAGGAATTTAAATATTGATTTCCTTGAGGGGAAAGAGGATACATTCATATTTCCTCATTGATAAATATACAGAAATGAGTTGTTATGTATGCATGTGTATTTTTCTTACTAATATTTCAAGGGCAGCTTTATTTTTAGGTAATATTTTTCAAAATGTTAACAATATATTCCAACCAAAAGAATCAGGTAGCTTGTTGGGTAGAGTTTTTCTCTCTGTTTGTAGTGTGAACAAACTTTGAAGATCATTAGCTTTAAAAAAAAAAAGAAAACTCCAAGATTTTTGCACCTATTTACAGGACATTTATTGTTATTATTAAAGAATGCAATATTGTATAATATAACAGTACTATTTTCATATACGAAGGAAGGAATTAAAACTTCAGAGCCATTGCACTTAGAATATACTGTTTTCCCAGAAAACATCTGTGAAATTACCAAAGGGGGTGAGTTAACAATTGATTATAAAAACTGATCATAGTTACTATAATCTAGAGTTTATATGTTCAGCCCTAAGTGTAGAGAAAAATGCCTGATTCATGAAAATAGAACATTTTAGTAATACATATTCTCATCTGTGAGACATGAGAATACTCAGATTTATCTAAAATACTAAATTTATACTATAACTGATATTTTCATGTACTACTCAGATACCCATATTCTCTACCACTGAACAAAAGGGGAAAAGGAAACTTATCTTTAATTTTTTCCTCTTGTATTTAATATTGGACTAGAAATCCATTATCTCATCTAATTCTGAATGATAGCAATGTTCTCTGTTCTTAATGGCTGATTTTGTCTCAAACTCATAAGAACATAATCAAACAGCAAAGGAACGTTGTATAGAGAAATTAAGTGTTTGGAATATATCTGCCTTTTAAAATATTACTTGGCAAATTGATGTCTCTTTTTTAAAGAGCAGTTTAGAGTTGTATAGTTTTTGAACAGTTTGTCACAATTAGGCATATTTTATCAGAAAAAAATTTGTATATCTGATACACGTCAGGTAATCTGGATGTTAGATTTATAGGCTTTGATTATCTTCACTCTTAGGTAGCATATGTTGACTCAAACAGCAAGCTAAAGATTGCATTTCACTACAAAGTGATATCAGAAATGGAGAGTAGTCTAAAAATACTTGAATTTAAGAAAAATATAAGTACTGAGTTAAATCTTGAAAATAGTTGAATTTGGAGACAAAATTTATTCTGAAACCCGTATGAAGTATTGTAAACTACTATTGTAGCAAATAATCCTGAGTACAATATTTTAGTGCACTATTTTAAAAAATTGGCTGATTGTATAGACACATTGGTCTCATGACAACACAAATAAGTTGTATTGAATTTTTCTTCATGTTATAAGTTAATAATTTTGAAGTAAGCTATTTATGATTTTATAGACAAAAATATCCTTTAACCTAATTGACTTTTAGTTAGTAATGTTTTAAGACAAAAATAATTGATTATGTATCAATAAAAAGACAATTAAGAAATCCTCAAGGTCATAGTAACTTTAATAAAGTTTTGGAAATATAAAATTGAGAAACAAAATTTGAATAGTACCTTTTCATTCCCTAGAGACATTTAGATCTGCAGTGTGATAACTAAGCATAAAGATCCTTTTGGATGAAACTATGTTTACAACTGTCATTTTATGTTATCAGATTTGCTTACCAGGTCATTGCATAATCAGTTAAGAAAGAAACAACAACAATAACAACAAATCATTTCAGAAAAGATAATATCTTGTTTGATTTCAGAGCTAGAATTTTTTCTTCCTTACCAGTATCTAGGTTGAAATTTGAGGCAAAGTACATTTCTATCTGTAGCAAAATCTACTTTATTATAAAGTCAAGGCTAATTAATCCTATGTAAGGGGTGGGGCATATAGGCCTGATAATTAGATGAAACACTGTAGAGGACCAGACTCTGCTACTGGCTTTCTCTGTTGGAGAGAAAACATTGATGAGACAATTCTCAGAATTTGAGGAATAATGTATAAAATTTAATTGCTCACACAGTTGTCATACCAGTTTCTTTTTGTGGTCACAAGTGTTTGGATACTAATATATTCCATTTTCTCCAGGAAGAATAGATGGAACAACTATAAAACAGATGACTTGACTTGGTTATAACTTTTATTATCTTTTTTCAAAAGTTTTATTACTTTTTCTTAAAGTATGATTCTTAAAGAGTGATGCATTATTCCTTTTTCTGTGATAAAAGGTGCTTGCCTGCTTTTGTTTTTTAAAGTTGGAATATCACATCTTTTGTATTCACAAGTCTGCAAAATGTTTATAATCCATCTTCCCTGTCTTGTGGGGTGGTTGTTGTTGAGTGCTACTGGTGGATTACAAAATGATTAGTCAAGGCCCTGTCTGCACATGGTTTGCAATCTACTCTTTGGCCCAAACAGCCTCTCCATGTATCTACTAGGATTATTTTCCAAAAAATCGGCAAACACATTTCTAGTATTTTAGGATAATTCACATGAAAGCTCCTATTTTAATTCATTCTTGTGATAAGCTTAACTAGAAATAATAAGAAAGTCTAGCTTATGTATTTTCCTGATTTCCTTTAATGTCAGTGGGGTGAAATCTATTATTTTCCTGAAAATTATTCAACAAAGCAAGTACCGTATTTATATCAAGATGTACAACCTGGTCTGTTTTACTTTGTGTTTGTAAATCTCATTCTTAAAATCAGGTAGAAGATGGTTTGCTTCAGGGAGGACTCTTGCACAGTTCTTTAGAGGAAAGAAATCTCACAGCCTGTAATGGAAGATCCACATGAAAAAAGGGTTGAAGGATTGAGATTTATGGAATCTTTAGGTAAAGTCATTTTCAAAAATGAGATTTCCATTACATGCTCATTGCTGGGGTTTCATTTGGAAAATTTGTTTACTCTTCCCTGGGGATTCCATATGTTGGTTGATTTATAAATCATATTTACAATCCAATTAAATCGAGTAATTTAGCATGTTTGCCCCCACTATATTTATGGTGTACATGTGGTAGTCTATACTCAGCCTAACTAGCTTTTCAGATTAATTACATGCCCTTCACTGAAAACATTAAACAGATTTGAGAAGTTTAAGTCATGTACTCTTTTACTGGAAAAGGATAAACAAACCATTGCTACCTGTAGTTGTTTTCTTTTGCAGTGGAAAATTTTACTTTTTCAGTGATTGCTTCATAAATAACAATTACTTTTCCCAGAGGAGATTTATAACTTTTACTAATGTCAATGCTTCAAAATTAATAGTGAGAAATTGATATGTTTACTGAGTTCTCAGAATAAATGGATAGTGAAGGTGGCAAGAGGCAAATTAATTTTAAACGACATTTGTTCTCTCATCTTGCTTATGCCATTTCCCCAAATTTCTAAATCTATAATTAATATAGACTCCTCAAACTAGATTTCCCCCCCCCCATCTAGGTAATAATTTAACTTGTAGAAAAGTCAGGAACTAGTTCTATATTGTTTAAGATTAAGGATTTCTATCCATCATTTATTTTAAAGTCCACTGCTGTAGTCACCCCTTACTTTTTGACAAGTTGAGGAGGTCCACTTTGTCCAAGCTTCACCTCCTGTCATCCTTTTCTGCATTGTAGAAGGAATCACATCACTGAGATAATAAAATACTTCGTGAATTTTAAAGCATACTGAAAACCAACTATATTATGAACTATAACAACTATGTTATGATGAACTATAACATAAAAACAAGGTTGAAGAGTTAAGTGAGAAATTGGGAATGTAGGGGGAGAGAGCAGTGGGGTTTTTTTATGCTTGATAACGTGTAATAAAATCACCTTAAGTTTACACTTGTCTAAATCTAATGTCTTGATGGCCTAACTGGTAGGAAGTTGCACTGCCAACTCAAAGACAGAATCTAGGGAGAGACAGTCAAACTCCTCCCATGTGATTTACAACCTCAGAAAACTCACTAGAGCATCGGTTGGCTTTAGATCTGTCTGACTCGATGTCAGTGAGTTTGAGTTTTGAAAATTCCAAGAGCATTTTCTAAATGACAGTCTAACTCAGCCTGGTTTCTTGTAAGGCCACATTCTAGTGAAATATCACTAGACAAAGAAGTGGATCTGAGGAAAGGAATTGTAGACATTGCAGCGAGTTGTAGTCTGCAGTACAGGGAGCACACCAAAGAACAAGGTTCCTTGGGCTAGGGTGGAAGGCGGGAAAGGGCAGATAAGAAAGCAAATGCTTTAGAGAAAGAGATCATTTTGGATGACAGACAGACAGCGAAAAGTCAAAAGAATGGGTAGGGAAAAATTAAGTTGTGATAAGATGTAGAATTCACTAGTAGACTTTCTCTGCTAACTAACGAGTTGATTGCTTCTGTCATGTAATAATATTAAATCTTTTTTTTGTTTTGTTAAATCTTTTAACCTTATGCACCTGTAAAATGTTGAGCAAAGCTTTTCCTTATTTTCAGAGTAATGGTAACACCTTCATTTTCTTATTATACTTACTATCTTATTCTTGGTGTATACTTTTTCAATAGTATAAAAGATAAATTAGTGCTAGGAAATAAAAGGCTAAATACAGATGTAAATGTTCTTTCATTACTGAATTTGGAATAATTCCTTATTTAACTAGTTTCTCATAAGTAATTGGAAAAAAAGAATCCTAAATAAAAATGATCAGAACTATAGTCGCTATGTAATGCTAGATATCTTTTGTACTTTGGGAACTTTCTGTCTTGATTCTCTTTATTTCCTGTGATCCTTAAGGTGTGTCACCTTCTCAAGAAGGAATGAGACATTATAAGTTTTAAAAAAATATTTTTTTTAGTGGTTAAGAAACAGTATGAGGATCTAACAATGAGATTCAAGTTCTAGAAGACGAAGAAATTTTTTGTCAGATGGTATCTCAAAAGGTGTTCTAGTTTGATATTAAATTTTGCCTTTCTTTTAATTGTCTAAGAAAAGGAGCATGCTTTTTCTGTGGGTCTAAGGACCCTGCCAGACAGGGGTGTTAATTTCTTTTTTGCACATATGACCACTGACTTGCTAATTGGCCTTTCTTAAATGACTAAATCCTGTTTTCTGTACTCGTTATGTATAAAGAAAGAAGAAAGATTTTACTTGTCAATAGTGATATCCAGTGGTTAAAAATATAGCATAATCCTTGACTTCCTTGAAATACATTTACATTTCAATTGACTATTATGTTGCTACTCTTTAGGTTGTCTTATAATTATCATAAATCCAGTAGGTTATAACTGAGCTATAATTATTTGGTAATATATGTTGGCTACAGGATGGATTGACACAATAACAACCTGCCTCAGCCTAGTGGAGATTGTGAAGGCAAGGTTCAGATCTGTTAGGTCGCTATGAGTCATAGTTGACTAGAGGGTACCCAGCAACAATAATATTTCTTAGAGCCTGGCATTATAGGGCACAGTCAAGAGAACTTAATTTCTTTTCTCCTTATCCATTCTTGAATACTTTCTTGAAAGTACAGGCACTTTGACAAACAGAAAATCATGAGGTATGTGTTCTTATAGACTAAGGATTCAAAGCTAGTCTCCCCACTTTATCCTTGTTTTAACAGAAATCCATAAGTACTGTTAAGTCACACCCACATATTTATTCTGTAACCTACTTATCCACTCTAAATTGAAGAAACAGTATTTGAGACTTCACTATTGCATTGCCAGAGATGTGGGAGTGAAAATAATCACCAAATGAATTAAATGAGAAAACAGTTTGTACATGCCATTGAGTTAGAACAAGTATCTCATTAGTCTGTCTGATTTACTCAACTCTAAGGATTAGCTCGCTTTTAATAATTCCATTATTTAAGTCTTGTGTTCTCAAGGAAATACAAAGATATTTTCATTCATGTCATCAGGAAATAGGATTTATGCTTTTTATTCCTCAATATGTTGAAATTGAGGGGGAAAATTAGGTTACTTGTAGAATGCTGAATGCCCCTGCCAGAAGAAGGATTAGAAATCAGAGTTTTGGTGTTGTTAACTGTAACCATACCAACGTTAATTTCTTGAATACCAAGCCAGTGCTGGTTTCTAAGGAAGCTTGCCTGACAAAACTGCTGCTGTATTTTGTTTGCAAACTAAGATTTACATTAAGTTCATTTCAAGAGATTTATTCACGTAGCTTTCAAAATTCTATCACAAGGCCCCAGAACTTTGCAGGCAAATTTTCTAATATGAAAAATCACGCCTGTGTAGTTCTTTCATATTTGGACAGATAGGTTTTGTTTTTATTTTCTGATAAAGAAGTTCTGGAAGAAATACATCCAGTCTTCATCAAAAGCCCTTATAAGATAAATCGCCTTGTTTTGTATGTCCTCTGTTCCACAGGCATTTTCAACATAACATTTTAAAATTCTGCCCATGTTTTCTTTAACAAAGGTTGTGCTCATTTTAAATTTTTACTGGGACAGCCCACACTCTAGGCCCTTCTTTACTGGAAATGAAAGCTACTGTAGGTCCTTCACAAATGCCTCAACAAAAGAGCCAAACAAAACCAAAGGACGGGGAAGTTGACAAAAGCACTATTGCATAGCTGGACAGATTCTAAGAATATTTAATCATTGTTCATTCTTTTATCATACTGCTTCTCCCTCCTATAGTTCCAAACAGCAAAAGCAAATACTTTTTAAGGTTCTCCAAACCTTGACTGGAACTACATCCTACTCTTTGACCTGTTTGTTTAGGTAGTAAGATTGTACGCTTTCAGAATAAAATTAAAGCCAAGTCTTAAAAATCAAAGAGAAGAGTCAGAATATGGTGGGCTTATTCAGAACTAATATTTCCACTTCTTTCTGAAAACCTGTGAAATGTCATCTACCGTAATGTGATATTTTACCTCTTCTCTTTCTCTGCACCTCTCAGGCACCAAATGGCCTCCCAGCGGTGAGCAGTTTTGTGTCAGCGTCCAGCATGGCTCCTTACCCTACCCCAGCCCAAGTGTCGCCTTATATGACCTACAGCGCTGCTCCTTCTGGTTATGTTGCTGGACACGGGTGGCAACATGCCGGCAGCACCCCGCTTTCCCCCCACAACTGTGACATTCCTGCATCGCTGGCGTTCAAGGGAATGCAGGCAGCCAGAGAAGGTAGTCACTCTGTCGCAGCCTCTGCACTCTGATGGGAAATTCCGTCTCCAGCAGCTTCACCTGGGTCTCCCCCTGTCAGCACATCCTCCCCCTCTTCCCAGGTCTCAAGACCCAAGCCCCCGTCCCCCCAAGCCTCTTGCCTGGAGAGCTGGCTTTACGGACTCACATCCTTTGTGCTGATGACACTTAAATATTTCTTGCCATACCTTCTCTCTCACAGAAAACCTGACTTGACTTCAGGATTTAAAAACAAAAACCACATTAAGGATTAAATGAGACATTTGGGTTGCCCAGACACTGTTTTAAGTAGTGAAGAAATCTGCACCCCTCAAAGGGCTTAAAGAACTTTAAAAAACTAGTCTTTGGTAAAACCACACATGTATATTTATTCTGAATCAACCTGAACTTTTGAAACGTGCAATTGTTGAGATTTCGCAAAATCAATAAAGGAAAATACATATAGAAAAAAAGCAGTTATGCTACACCCTCTAATCAAATAACACGACCCAGTAAGCCTTAATTCATCATTAGAAAACCAATCAATAATTGACTTAAATGATCCTTTCTTTTTTAAGAGATGATGACCTATTTTATTGAAAATATCTGTAGAACCCAAGCAATATCTGAATTTAGCTCCTCCTAATGTTTTGACTTGGTTCCAAATATAATAATGTTTATATTTTCTATTAATTTGTAAATATGGATTTTTGAATGGCATTGTGTTTTTATTCCATGGAATTACTCCCTGTCCTTATCCGAGATATATTATTTTTCTTTTAAAAAAGGTGACTTTCTAGCAACATCTTTGTCTCTGTTTGGTGGTGGGCTGCTCGGGCTTTTGGACCTGGACTTGCCCCCAAATTTTGTATGTGCAGTGAAGGCTTCAGCGTCTCATGAAGGACATTCCCCCCGCCCCAGAAGATTCTGAAAGGCAGATAAAACAAGCCAGTCTCCCATTTTTGTAACCTAATTATATGACACACATGCCAAGCATATAAAGACAAGAGGGTGGAAAATATCTGAACAAGAAGGCATTAAAGGAAGTCCTTAGAAACTTAAGTTTAATGTGAAATGCTTTGCAAAGACACTTAAAATGAACTTTATGTTGAAAAAAAAACCACTGTGAAACTAAATTGTACTGTTATTGTTGGCTTACCTGTGTGTTCAGCAATCTTAGCCCAAAATTATGTTATAATTTAAGGAAAATGCAAAATTCTGCTCTAATGAATGTAAAAATGGCTTGCTGTGAAGTTTACATTGTTGTACAGAGGCATGTTTCATGTGTAGGCAATGGTGGTGGTATTAGAAATACAAACGCTATTTAATTTTAACACATTCCTTTTATTCATTCTTGGTGTTACAGAACACAATTTAACGGATAAATCTTTTTAGACCAGTTTAGATTTTCCTTAATGTTAATTTTACAACTGTATGGGGGAGTGTATGTGTGTGTATGTGAGAATGTATGGTCTTTGTGTTGTATTTTAAAATAACCAATTTACTTGGACTTAATTTTACAATTTAAAAAAAAATCCCTCCTGTTTAGAAAATTCTTTGTGTGGCAATATAGGCTTAGAAATACCTAACAAAAGAAGGGGGGAAAAAAGAAAAAAAAAAGTACAATTCATCTATTGGAATCATTAATATATTGCGGGGCTGTAGGTTTTTTGTTTGGTTTGGTTTTTGTTACTTCTGTGCAATAGTTAAAAAGGCACATTACTGGGTTTAGTGTCGAAGACACATTTGTCAGGTGATTTTGATTTCAGGCTATCTGTCCTGTGCACAGCCTACATGGCAATCCAGTTCCCCCACGTTGTTTTCACAGCTTTATTCTCAAACTCAGATTGCTAAATTAGCTAGGTTTGAAAAATCACTAGGATATAAACAGTAAGCAGATTTCTAACACACAAGTTGCGTTCAAGGAGCTGCGTTTTCCAAGCAGCATATATCTTATAGAGAGCTTTGAACTGCATTTTATTTCTAAAGCGGTCGGAATTCAGTGCTCCAAACAGAGGATTATAACTTCAGGAGAAGAATAAGCAGAAGGAGCAGATGAACTCTCAGGGCCATAGTCTTCCTTTGATCTTGTAAAACTCCCATTGACATCTGGAGTTCCCAGTCTGGTGAGAAAATAGACTATAAACCGAATGGAACAAAAGTGCCAGTCTAATATTTCGGTGGAAACTTTTAAAACACACTGTACAGGGACTCTTCTGCTCATCAGAAAAACAGACATAAGGGTACAGAATTATTCCTTGGCAAATATTTTTAGGTGGCTATAGGAGTCTTAATTAAAAAAAAATAGTTGTTTGTATGGAAACACAACTGTTATTTTCTTTATCTAAGTTAAGAAATCTCTTGTTATTATGGTATTTATAACATCTCCCTGATTCTTCTATTTTAAAATATCTACTATCAATGGTACCAAGGTTTTCTTTTTCTTTCCCTCCCTGCCGACCCCTCCCCATCTTAACTATAAGTTTTCCACATAGAGTAAATTTAAAAAGGCAATAGAAAGCCCCAATACAATTTGCTATTCAAACCTGTTATTTAAAATAACTTTTAAAAAACAATGAAATGGGATATGGGGGTTGGAGATTGTGGTATTTTACAACGTTATTGTTGGTCAGTGATGACATCTCTGTTTCTCAGAGGGTGACAGTATTATTCTTAACAGGACAAATGCACCCTTCAGAGATTCTTTTCCATCACATCCACATGGAGAGGTTAAAGGTTCCATTGCATGGACAGAACTCTCTCACAGTATACAGGAGTGCTACCTGTAAGGAGAGAAAGTGGTGGTGCAGCAGAGACAGGTCCTTCCCCACCCTCCACCCCTTAGTTTTCCTGCTTTTAATAACTTTCTTCTAAGATTTTGGGCTGACATATAAATTAAGACACCCATTGGAAAGGATGTACAACAGAAGGCTGTGTATGTATATACAGTATGTCAAAAAGCCTTTTATTTTTATACTTTGAATGCTTTAAATTAATAAAAAGTAATAATTACCATGCTATCTTTTACTTTTTCTTTTCAAAATACTATAGTGAAGGATCTCCATAATAGAAATATTACACAGTGGTAGCTAAGAGCAGGTGCTATCTAGAGCATATAGATTTTAAAAAATTATTTTAGCTAATCAAATTGCATCATTTCAGGGAACAGATATCAAATAAAATGTAATTTTTTTCAAGACCAATAAGATCATTTTATGGAATGCATGCTAATACAGGAATCCCTGGAAATGCTAAGAATGTACTTCTTTTTAAATCATTTCCCCCTCATAGCACATATTTTAACATTTGTAGATAGCCACTTTTACACCTCAGCTGTCACTTAATAACCTGGAAATGTAGTGTTACTCTACATATTCTTTTTAACAATAATGTAGATAAGCTTTCTGGAGAAAATATATTTGTTTACAAATATAGACAGTATTAATAGACCCCAAGAAATGGTTTTAATTTGTAAAGAAATGTTAGCAACTAAACTTACCTTCAAAGAGAACTGTATGAGTGAAAGTAGTTTAATATAATTTCAAGCTTTATATTTATTAAAGACTCCACATATAGTGATTTCTAAATAATACAATTTTTAATCAATAGTTTCAAATGTAAAATAGATTTGGGAAAACATCGCTGTGATTAGTCTGACTCCTAAGAAGACAGATTTACATGTTAAACATACTGGGGGAAAATGAGAAACATTTCAATAATGCTATTTTTGGTGCACTTTAAAAACATTTTTTTTCTTGTGACTTATTATTTGTGAACAAATAGAATTCTTTTTTTAAAAAATATTTTTAAATTGATTTTCATATGATAATTCCTTTACATTATGTTTCATTCATATACATTATGTTTTATACAAATCGAATTCTTTATCAAATGGTTTAGTTTTTGAAAAAATTTAGTCTTTAATTGAATATTACTTTAAAAAACTGGCTATCAGGGATTTCTTTCCAAGAAACATTTCTTGATACCTTATGAAGAAACAATGATGAGTACAAGGAATTGGTTTCATTGTGAAGAGGAACACGTGATGCTTTTTGTGAAGTTCATTTTCTTTCTATTCTCCTTTTATATTCAACTTATATGTGTTACTGCTTTGTATTGTCTTTAATTTCTCAATTTTATCATACAGTCAAAAAACTACAGTTTTAATCTGTCTAAAGATATTTTTAAAGTATCAAAATATGGTTAGTTCTTGACTTAAACTGCTTCCCCCTTTGTAACTGCATGCCCAATATGGCTGCTCAATGTCTTCTCTTCATAGTGCTGCTTAGCACGTACCCATTATTTCAAGGGTGAAAAGCACTTTGCAGGCTATCACCAATTTTGCTGAAGCCATGAATAGCTGTATTCATAAACCAGCAGCATCACCGCACCACCTAGGAAAGAAAAGGACTGGTTGGTTGTCATAGTCTCATGAAGTATCAACATCTTTTTTCACTGTGCTTCTGAATTTAGGACTCCCATACAGTCTACCTAATCAATGCTTCTTGAATTCTAACTTATCTATATATGTTCACCACCATCCCCTCCCCCCAAGAAAAGCCCAAACCCACTGCCATGGATTAAATTCTGACTCTAAAACTAACCCATTAGGGTTTTTAAGGTTGTAAATTTCCATAGACTAGCTGGTGGATTCCAACTACTCTACTTTTGGTTAACAGCCAAATGCCTGTTCCACTGCTCTAGTAGTATATAATACACACACACACACACACACACACACACACACACACACACACATAAGAGAGTTCTGGTGGTCTAGTGGCAAGGAGCTGCACTGCAATCCTGAAGGCGCACGCTTTGAGGCCACCAGCTGCTCTGTGGGAGAAGGATGGACAGTCTCCTCCTGTGTGATTAACTGCCTCTAAAAACCTGCCAGAGGGTCAGCTATGGGTTGGTTCTGACTCTGACAACTGCAACATATATATGTAAACTATTATGGAATATTCTTAGAGTAAAATCAAGGCCATCTTGATTCTCCAAGTACATTTCCCCCCATGGGTTTCTATAATTTTTTATGATTTCTCATCAGATTATTTTTTTCAAGTACTTATAATTTTTAAAAGAAAACAATACAGACACGTAAAGTCATATAAGGGCCTGTGACTTTCATGTGAAGAGAAATCTTCAGATTCGTCATGTATTAAGGATTCATATCTTTCACTTATAATTAGCATTTTTAGTCCATAATTAGTCTTAGCTAAATTAAAGAACACAACCTCTCAATGATGCTTGATGGAAGAGTTTGATTTTCTTACAGTTTTTTTGAATAGTCTGCAATTTGAAAGATAATTTCTCAATACTAAAGGAATATATTTTATTGCAAGACTTAAAAGGGAGTTGAAAGCTACCTTTCATTCATTTATGTGCCTCAGTTATATACAGATTAACCTTAAAAAATTTTGTAGATAGGGCTGGGTGGCAATAGATATTGATTGTCTTGGAAAAAAAAGAGTTATGTAAACTGACTGCAAAGAGGTTTTCTGTGTAATATGTCAACAAGAACATTACAAAGGAAAATAAGTATCAAGGCTACTGACTAGCCACTGGGAGAATGATTTGTATGTAGATGATTCTGTGTTTTATCTGATGGAGTGATAGCACTTGTCTTGTGCTCTTTAAGATAATCTCCTTATCTTGCATGGATAACTATGAAGAACATTACAAAATAAAAATGTAGATAAATATACGGAGAATGACAGAAGACTCGCTGCATGAACAGAAAGCTAACTTCTGACAGGAAGAAAAAGAAGTTGGTGTTTTGTTGTTGTTGTGTTTTGTTTTTTTAAAAATCTATAGGCTGCACATGTTTTGTGTAATCATATACCTAAAACTGTTAATTTTTATTTTCCCTCATGGAGACACTGTTTTATTATCCTCTCAGCTGTTGTACCAGCACACCTTGTTGAGTTCTGCCAACAAAAGGGACACACCATGGAAGGTTGTGCATGTATGTGCAATAGCTGCATCTACTCTTAATAACTGTTCACAGTGTAAGACAAGAACATGCAGAATTAGATTCCCTTTGAATGATATTTGGAGTTTAAACCACACATCTCAAAATTATTTTTTTGTAGGAGGTACTTGACCATAGCTGCTAAAATACCCTAAACTAACCAAACAAAAAAAATTTACTAATTTTTCTCTAGTAAAAGGAGCTAGTAGATTCAGACGGCCAGAAGTAAGGACTTTTTTTGATCAGCAGTACAATATCCTATGAACTGCACCATCAGAGCTGCTTGGCTGTTAAAAAAGAAAGTGAACATCATGCTGACGACTGTTTCAAAACAAAGAATGAAAATTCCAGGTTTACCTTTTCTTAAACTTTTTTTTTGGTACCCTAAACTCTCAAAGTCTTGCCTTTCTACCTCTTTTTCCTTTGAAGATACTGAGACAAGGTTTCCAGTTACTCCCAGTTTGGTTTAGCCTGGACAGTAAGTTCACAACAACCCTTTTCGTTGAATTTAATGCCCCAGCAATTCAGCACATCTCATGCAAAAACATTTAAAAAGGGAACCAAACATTTGCAAACCTCTAACAAAACTTGGGGTCAGATTATTTAAGAGTTTTGGATTAAGGTTCCAGTCAATTGCCATTTTAGCTATACTTTGCCTGGTCATCACCTTTCTGGGCCCATTCCCTTGTGAGAAAACTGGTTTTGGGCCAGATCAGTGATTTTTCCCTAATATTAGCATACTAGTAGGTTTTTGTTGTGTGGTGAAGGAAAAGTACTATATATTTGCTGAGATGCACAGAATTCCCAGAATTTTTTATTATTGGCTTAGTTTTTACTATGACTAACAGAGAACAGGTTTGAATCTCAAATAGAAAACAAAAGTCGTGCTTAAATGCTTAGAAACGTTGAAGTATGTGGATGGGGAATTGTTGAAGTGTTTGCTAAGTACATGAAAGTGTGAACTGCTCACCAGCTTCAATTTATAGACTGTAATTGTAGATTGTGGACTGGTAGAAATGCTGGTTCATCGGGCTGCAATCTAAAGATAAAAGTGTGTGTGTGTGTGTGTGTGTGTGTGTGTGTGTGTGTGTGTGTGTATAAGGGAGGATGATATTGGAAAAGGAGACAACAAGAGGAAAGGCAAACAGAGAGGAGAGGAATGAGAGAAGGTTATAGGGAAGTTTACCAAGATTAAGTAGGTGAGTGTGGCCTGGCCGAAAGGAGAAAAAAAAAAGAACAACAACAACAACAAAATATGTGCTCTAGAGCATACTTTTGTACTTATTCACCAGGCTGCTTATAATCCAAGACTATTTGCCCAGGCGGTAGAGTCTGCAGCAGTTATGTTCTTATCTATTTACATAGAGGCAGTTGACTCTCCCTGTGGGAATGGCAGTCAATTTTTTTGTGGGTTAGCGTCCTGAGGTAAGGCCCTGAGCCAGGAGCCTCCACAGGGCTGACCGAGGTTAGGAAAGGTGAGGGCCCAGAAGTGACTGTGAAGACAAACAGCTCATGGGTTTCATGGAAGCAAGTTGCCTTTCTCTTCTCCTTATGCAGTGAAGTTAGGCAGGCACAACAGTGAACCAGGAGCACAGGGGAAAGTTTGGATGGACTGGTCCTTCCCTCAGTGAAAACTTTCCCCTTGAGCAAGAAGTCACTGTATGTTCCAGTGCTCCTTCAAACTGGCTGGGGATTTTTTCCTATTTACTTAAGCCAATATTTGGCTTCTACCAGCCTCCAGCAAAGTCATAAAAAAGCAACTTATAAACAAAGGTAGAACATAACTAGTGGATGCTTTTAGTATTTTGAATATCATGTTGATGTTGTTAGGTGCCCTCTAGTTGACTATAACTCTTGCTGTTGTTGTTGTTATGTATTGACTGGAACCCTCTAGCGGATTTTCAAAGGCAGTATATCACATGGGAGTTGACTGCCCATTTTTCCCCTGTGAAGCATCTGGTGAATTTAAACTGTGTACCTTTGGGTTGACAGTGCAGCTCCTTACAACAAGGCCACCAGAACTCCCTATGACTCATAGCAATCCTAAGAACAAGAGATTGAAACCCTTCCTTATCCTGTACCATTCTCCAATCTCTGCCATGCTTGTGCCTGTTGCTGCAGTCACTGTATCAATCCATCTCATTGAAGGTCTTCCTCTCTTACACTGACTCTCTCCCTCTCCCAGAGTGATAATTTTTCCCAAAGACCAGCTCTTCCTGACAACATGCCCAAAGTATGTGAGACAAAGTTTCACTATCCTTGCCTTTAAGGAATACCCTGGTTGTACTTCCTCTAAGACAGATCTGTTTGTTCTCTTTCCCAACATTACAATTCAAGGAACATCCATAGACAACTTTATATCCTCATAATTTCTATCTTTCACAGTATGTTGATAGTATTGCTGATAGACACAGATAAAAAGAGGTACTAGACCAATGAAGAATGAGAGATATAAATGATAAATTAGTACCTGGTCCAAGCCTCATAATCTTGGGGATCAGTCCTTTGTACAAAGCAAAAAACCTATAACCAGAAAGGAAAGAGCAACATTCTTATTCTGAAAAGAAAATGTTATATTTGAGCTTTATAAAAATTATTCTAAAGTACACACATTTCAAGCCAGACAGTATCTAGTTTAGTAGTCTCTGTAGCAAATTTGATGAGGGGAAAGAGTTAATCAATTCTTTATTACCCAAGCCATGCTGATCTTGCCCAATCAGAAACAAGACTTTCATCAGCGAGATGGTTTTTGCTTTCAAGACAGGTCTTACTTTTGAGACAGCTGTGTATATGGACAAAATGAGTTTTGCAATTGAATTTAAAAGACCACAAACCCAGTCTTTGCATTAGGAAATATGATGCAGTTTAGACCAAAATAATAAAATATTGTAAATAATATGTGAGTGAGGAGGGGTGAAGAGACTTAAAAAATAAAACAAACAAACAAACAAAAACAATCCAGGGGAAAAAAGCACACACTTTAAGTAAAAACTAAAATCCAAACAAACCAGAGGAAACAACCTATTTCCATAGAACTCTCATATTTAATATTCTCAGAAGACTGTCTAATGTCTAATCAAAATGACATTTTGATTGGATTTAGTTAGAAGGACACTATTCTCTAGTTCATATATTAATATAACACATTATATGCAATAACAAATTATACAAATTGACAAAATGTCATTTGCCTTAGAATGATGTGTGCGTTGCTTTTACGGCATTTAATACTTTGACCAAGGCTGTCAATTTTGCCAATATTTCATTAGTCTGTTTATCTTGTAAAGTGTATACATTCCTCTCAGATTCTTACACACACCCAATTTAGGGGGGAACTTAGTAGCCCTCATCAAAATGGAACTATGCTAGAGTTTTAACAACATTTGAGCCTTGCACATTTAGGGAATAAGAATGTGTTACCCTTCTTCCTGGTAGATTGTAGCTATTGTCTTAAAACAGGTTCTGTACTTGATCTGTCCAGGAACTGGCTGAGGTCCTTGAATCCTACTTTTGGCAACATCAAAAGGGATGTTAGTGACTGAGGCTATTGTCCCTGAGAGAAGACCGATCCCAAATTTTCTCAAAAACTCCAAGGTTGGATCCTAAAAGAAAAGAAGAACAAAATAACAGAAAGGGAAGCGGAAGCCCCTAAATAGGTTAAACACTATAAAGCAATATGTATTTAAGAAAAGCATTGCACTCCCCGGCACCCTCCTGTTATTCCAGTGGAACACATTAGGATTTCCTAGGCTGGAACTTGTTTTCTTGACAATCCCATTGGCTATGTTTTTACACATGGTCTAAATTGCTGAAGTACACATTTCCTCACACAGGATTTATAAACACAGTTCATAAAGAGAGACTGGTATGGCATATGGGGATGATTTGTATAATTGGGCTTCACAATGTACTTAGTATTACTGTATCAAAACAGGAGAAATCCAAGCACACTATTAGCTAATTGGCCAGAATATTTTACAAATGACAGAAACTTCCACCATGAAGCCTACTAAAATGCTCATTTGTGTGTGGACCCCCAAATGTTAAATTAAATCAAGGCTACTCTCGGTCTGCTGCTATTCCCCTCCAGGTTTTTTGCATTTATTTTCACGTGTAGCTGATCCACTGTACTGAGAAGTGCTAGCTTCCTGTTATTAACAAACCAACTTGGGGCGGCTGCAAAACAGCCTGTGACATTCTGTGCATTATAAACAGTAGTAAGTCACTGGGCTAATTGGCTGAAGAATTTACAACCCATTGTTTCGGAATCTTATTCTTGCTTCATGGCAAAGGAAGAAAAAGGAGGGGGGTAGGAGAAGCGAAAGAGAAAGAATATTTTCTTCATTCCATTTGAACAAAGGTCTTGCAAATTGGTCTGATTTGATTTTCCACCCTCCCTTCTCTGCTTTCTGACATCAAAGTATTTAATTAGGTCTTATGTGGGAGTCACTTTCCTTCAGCCTATTTTTATGCCCACTGAGTGCACATTATGCTTTGTTATAATGAATTTGCTGGGAAGTTCTCATTATGTTTTCAGTCTCAGTTCTTGCCCTGAAGAGAGGTCATATCCTATACCTCTTCTTCTGCTCCTGCTCATGCAGTAGGTAAAATGCCAAGTACCCTTTCCCTCTTCTCCCTTTCAGTAAATAGTTTTGGAAGTAATCTTCACAGAGGAATATACAGGGTTGTGTTATAGTACTATTTTATCCAGAAGGAAAACAAAAGGGGGAAAAACATACAGTGCATTAAACAAACCAACCAAGCAAGCCAAAATAAGGCAGGTCCGAATATTTCATGCTTCCATCTTCTATAGAAGAAGACGACTTTTGAAAATTCTGAAATTTTTAACTGAACCAAGGTCCAGTAACCATCATGGATATTGTTTAATCATGTGGTTAAACAGAAAGAGTGAGAGATTCTGCACTAATGCTTGGATCTAGGCCATACAGGTGCTGGGTAGGTTTAAAGGGATTTAAAAACCAACAGGGTGTTTCAACAGGAAAAACAATGCCATGATTGCAGTATGAGTGAGGTGTGTTTAAAGTCACCCTCCTTTCCCCGTCCCCCCTTTTCTCTTTTACAAGGAGAGAAAAATGCCTTTATAGGCCCCTTCTTCATTATGATACAGAAGCAAACTGGACGTGGCCACTCAGGAGGACTTGGAATTCAGGATTAGCTCTAGTTGTCTGACTTCAGATAAGTCATGTAATCAGTGTCCCCAGTGTATAGAAAAGAAGGATTAGATACTTGCTTACCTTTTAATTGTATTACTCTGAGAAATAAAAGTGATACTAGAAGTACCAGGAATATTTTATAAATCTAGCAGAAAATGGATAGTATTAATATATATCCTGAAATATAATAATGACTCAAAGCACCCTGCTATCAGATGCATTAATGGTATCCCCATGAAAGTCAAGGACTGCAGTCTTCAATATAGATTAAAGTTCAACATCAAGAAAACAAAGATTGTCACCACTGGGCCAATTAGCAGTACCATGATAGATGGAGAAGAGATTGAGATTGTTAACAATTTCAGCTTTTTTAGTTACACAGTCAACACTCTTGGCACCAGCAGCCAGGAAATCAAAAGAAATTGTGCTGGGAAAATATGCTGTCAGAGACCTCTCCAGAGTTCTGAAGAGCAAAGATATGTCTAGAGACTAAGGTGCACTTGAACCAGGCCATGGCCTTTGCAATTACTTGTTATGCATCAGAGAGCTGGACAATGACTAAGGATGACAGAAGAATAATTGATGTCTTTGAGTGCTAGAGAAGAGTATTGAACATACCATGGGCTGCCAAGAGACCAAACAGATCTGTTCTGGAGAGAGTCAAGCCAAGTTGCTCTTTGGAGGCAAGGATTTTGAAACTCTGTCTGACATACTTTGGACATGTTGCCAGGAGAGACCAGTCCTTGGAGAAGGACATCATGCTTGGAACATTGTAGGGATAGCACAAGAAAGACTCCCTCCCCCCGCCCCCAAAGAAAAAGAGAGAGAAAGAGAGAGAGACCCTGGATGAGATGAATTGACATAGTGACTGGGGTAATAAGGTAGGTGAGTCACAAACAGTGAGATTAGTTCAAGATAGGGCAGGGTTCAAAGCTATTCTGCAGAGGGTTGCTGTGAGTCAGAGTTCTGAACAACACATAACAACAACAGTGACAATGCCCAGTCCTCTTCCTTTTAAACTTAGGGCAAGTTAAAAATACATGGGTACTGTTCTTTAGGGATACACAGGAGTTCTCTTTAAGGCGTCAGCAGCCTCTAATGTACTTGCTGTAGCCCAGAGAAAGAGAAAGAAATTCCATGAAGGTCATTGTATTTGAGATATTTTGTTAGAGATCAAAACCCAAGGTGTCCTAGACATCAAACTGTTCACTAGCAAAAGTAAAGGTCAAAACCAATGTTTTTTATGCAGATTTCATGCAAGTATATTTAGGTCCCATGTTGTTGTTGTTGTTGTTGTTGTTAGGTGCTGTCAAGTTGAGCACAACTCATAGTGATCCTATGAACAGCCAACCTGAACCCCGCCCTCTCCTATGTCATCTTCATCATCTCTGAAACATTCAAGCCCATTGCTGAAGTCAGTGTCAGTCCATCTCTGGGAGTTTTCTCTTCTCTGTTGACTCCCCATCTTTCCACGCATGTCTCTTTCCAATGAATAGCCTCATCTAACTACATGTCCCAAGTATGAAGCTTCACCATCTTTCCCTCCAAGGAACACTGAGGCTGTACTTTCTCCAAGACATATCTATTTGTTCTTTTGACAGTCCATGGGATATTCAGGAATCTTTTCCAGCACCACAACTCATAAGGCATAAATTCTTGTGTCATCCCTATTCATTATCCAGCTCTCTGATGCACAGCAGTTGATTGAGAAGACCATGCTCTGCATCAGGCGCACCTTAGTCCTCAAGCTGACATCATCACTCTTCAGAATTCTGGCGAGGTTTGTGACAGTAGATTTTCCCAATTTCTTGCATTTCCTGATTTCCTGACTCCTGGTGCCAAGGATTTCTATTGTTGGTCCAAGGAAGATGAAATCATTGACAGCTTCAATCCTTTCTCCATAATGTTGACTGCTGGTCCCAAAGTGAGGATCTCAGTTTTCTTGATGTTGAATTGTAGCCCATACCAAAGGTATGGATCTTCTGCAGCAAGTATTTCATATACTCTTCCTTTTTTGCAAGCAAAGTTGTGTCATTTGTATAATGGAGGTTGTTTATAAGTCTTCCTCCAATCCTGACACCACATTCTTCCTCATTAAGTCTGGTTCTTAAATTATTTTCTCAGCATACAGATTGATTAGGTATGGAAAAAGGATACAATCCTGACACACTCCCTTCCTGATTTTAAACCATGCAATGTTCCTCTGCTCCTTCCAGACAACATCTTCTTGGTCTAGGTATAGATTTCATATTAACACTTAATTGTGCTAATTGTGTCCTGGGTAACACTTAATTGTGTTAATTGTGTCCTGAGATTCTCATTCTTCTCAATGTTAGCCATAATTTGTTATGATTCACACAATCAAATGTCTTTGTACAGTCAATTAAATACAAATACACGTTCTGCTGGTATTCTTTGTTTTTGGCCTGATATCAGAAATGATATCCCTCATACCATTGCCTTTTCTAAAGCCAGCTTGAACTTCTGGTAGTTCGCTATCAATGTACTGTTCCAGCCATTTTTGAATGATCCTCAACAACATTTTGCTTGCATGAGATATTAATGATACTGTTCAATATTTGGACAGATGGCTGTACCCCAGATTTTTTGGCATAAACTGTTGAGCACATCCATGGTTGCATCTGTTCACTGAAACTGAAACATGTCAGTTGGTATCTCATCAATTCGTGGGGCCTTATTTTTTGCTAATGCCTTCAGTGCAGCCTGAACCTCATCCTTCATTATCAATGGTTCTTGTTCATATGGTACTTCCTGAAATTTTTCAGTGTTTGCTAATTATTTTTGGTGCAGCAATTCTCTGTATTTCTTCCATTGTTTTTTTTTTCTTTTTATTTTATACTGGTTTGCTTACAAAGTTTATATACATTGTGTTGTCTCTTCAGGTCCCTGACAGATCTTTCTCATTTAATTTACCTCCTTACTCCCCCCACCAAATTGTGCAACCCTGTGATTTCAAGATTGTTTGTCATAGCATCTTTCAGTTTTGCAACTCGAGGCTTCAATTCTTTCAGCTTGAAAACTGTCAATGAGTTCTTCTCTTTTTACTTTCTGTTTCAGCTCTCTGCACATCTTGTTTTAGTAGTTTGCTTTATATTCTTGGGATGCCCTCTCAAATCTTCTGTTCAGCTCTTTTACTTCAGCATCTCTTCTTTTTGTCGTGACTTCTTGATGCTCAAATGCACTTTTTAGTGTCTCTTCTCACATCCATTTTGGTTTTGTCTTTCTTGTCCTTCTTTGTAATGACCTTTTGTTTTCCTCATGGATTATATCTTTGATGTCCTCCCACAGTTCCTCTGGTCTTTGATCATCGATGTTAAATGCTTCAAACCTGTTCTTGAGATAGTTCTTAAATTCAACTGGGATAGATTTAGACTCAAGGTTGTATTTTGGTTCCTGTGGACTAGTTT